AAAGCCAGTGATGTTTTTCTCAAGATATATTGAACACTCAGGATGGGTATTGTAGTAGTAATGGCATGTGATCCCTTAGTTACTTACTAATTGGTAGGTATTTCTTTCTGGAACTACAACGTTTCACCAGAGATGTCTTATGCTGGTGTTCNGGCATCGAACTTTACGACCGACGACATGAACGGATCAAAGTCAAAGCACATAGTAAGCATTCAATAGGTCATGTTGCCGGTACAAGTGCCTTTCCTCTTGAAGAAAAACAGTTTGTGGAAGTTCTTTTGTCGATGTCTTCATCATGCATTTCATTTCCATTCTAACATCCACAAATGGATTTCATTGCCCATCACCCGACGAGCTGGTAGACATTAACCCATTGACAACCGCGCGGCCCGCCGGCGGACCACACCATATCGTGCTCCTGTAGTATTTATATTATTTATCGAGTATTCTTATAATCTTTTCATGTTTTCAAGTATCACCTGGGCTCGCTGCCTTCTAGGGAATCTTGAGGCATTTGGTCCAGGAATAATTCATTCCCGATCACAGTTATAAGAGAAATTAAAAGTTAATGTAAGGACAGTATAAAAGTCGCCAGTCGCCAGCCAGACAGTCGCCAATGTTTTAAAGCTTACGAAATAACCAAACAACGCAACAATCAATAACTACTGTCTCGTATCCAATAAGTAAATGTAACTAATTAATGTCGGTGGAGCATAAAAAACAACAATAAACAAATACATCAAAAAGATAAAGTAACCAGACACTAAAGATGGCTCGTTTCGCCTCTCATCAAACGAACCACCGGCTCTACCTTCCCCTAGGCCAGACAGTTTTTTTGGGTTAGTGACAAAAGAAATGGGATAAGATAGATCGTCCAAATCAAGAACAGGAGTGAATGTGAAGTTATACTATCGTCAATACTCTTTTCTTATCTTTAGAATTCCATCAGTCGGTGATGTTAGTGAGATTATCCTTGAAGGCACAGTTCACGATAATTTTGAGGTACATATTTTAAGTTGAGAAGGAAAGTGTGGATGTCCAGTAGTGCATCGGAGGGGAAGAAAGCGAGAGAATTGGCTCACTTCGCGAAAAATAAGGCTTCCTCAAAGTAGTGGAAATAGAGGTTGTACGAGATTACCATGGCTGCAATGATATGGAAGGGGTATTCGGACGAGATTTCATTTGTTACAATTACGCAAAGAGCTGACTACATCAAGTTCAAGTCGTCTAAAACTGCCTCCTATAGTCGCCATGGGTTATGACAAGTTGTTTGAACTTCCAACATCGGAGTCCCTTGAGATAGTGCAGCCTCTATAAAAACGTCAAAACTCGTCCGCTGTAGGTGTGGCATTCACACGATAGAATGTCTGGCCCGTTGTTGTGCCCAGTGCAGGACGTTACTTGACCTGACATCGGCGCATTTGATTTCAGGAGGGGCCTCGAATTCGTTTTATGGGAAAACCCTAAAAACCATTTTCATGAACTGTGCCTTTAATACGAAGCTTTTAGCATATTCACTCATTTCTATGTATATATGCACCTAACTATACCAGTAATTACGAAATTTTTTTTTACCCAATTCTCAATGGAATTCCCATCCCTTCTTTTAGCTTTGTAGTCAACCTTTCCATATTGGAACCATAGGCTGCTTTCAGTCCTCGACGACCGTCCGTCCGTCCGTCCGACGCGTGCGTGCTGCGACGGCGGTCGCTAGAGTGGTGTTGACAGCGCTGGCACGTGATCCAGTGTTGTCTACAAAGGTCAGGCGCCGCCGTTGCAGCACGCACGCGTAGGCGAACGGACGGATAGTCGTCGAGGTCTGAAAGCGGCCATAAAGGAAGGATTGACAATTCCCAATGCTTCTGTATATATAACAGAGGCTTTATTGATATTAGAAGTATTAGTACCACGATAAGGAATTCTGATGACATTGATGGCGAAAACATCAGTTTTGTTGTATAGTTTGGTACTGATTTTATCATTAGTTACATAATACGTATTTTAGCCTTTATATTTAGATTTGGCTGCTTTTCCTGAAAGCGTCAACATTCTGCCAACTGTCGATGGTGACCCTCGTACGAGTCTTAACCTTATAAATGGTTGCAACGATACTGATAGGTGAGTTAGGACGAGTTTTCCTGCTATACCTTTCGAATAGAGTTTTAACGTCAGGGCCGAAGAAATGTGGTTGACGCCCATGTTACCAAATCGCTGCGCCCGGGTGTTTTTCGTGTTTGACATGCCAGTTGCCGTTTCCACAGTCGTCATTTACAACTACCGGAAAACCCCTGCTCGAGGAGTTCGACATATTTCTGTAAGTTTCATTGAGTTGACTGAGATCAAGCTCAATGGAAACCCTTTAGATGATAGAAGCAATGAGAGCCCTTAAATTGGCTTTTCTCAGAGCTTTGTCTGGGATCCCTTACTCTACAATCCAGAGAAAATACATAAGGGGCTGAACTTTTAATTAACGATCAGGGAGGGATGGAAACCTTGCTTGGCTTAGGCGGATATCGATCCGGGATTCGAACCCATGGCCGTGCGTGTGAGGTAGTGCGCCCCTCGCCTCTACATCACCTCCGACTTTCTCTGTGTTCGTCCATAAGCTTCACCGAGGGACCACTGACCACCTCCATTTCGGTTTCTTTTTTGCGCCTCAAGTTATGTGTATACTGCCTCTAAACATTCAAAACTTAATAAATATGGCTCCTTAAAGAACTAATCAAAGCTACCTCAGTACCTGACCCGCTGGTATAAGAGCAGGGTTTCTAGATGGTTCTTCCTATTCCCATCAAATTGTGTTGGAGAGGCGGAGATGATGAAGGAGGAAGCACTATCAGCACACTATCAGATGCATGGCTAGGATAGAAGTCCAGAATGGCCCCGGAAGATGGCTACTAAGCTGTCCACCCATTCGAGGTCGATAACTGGTGCCAAACTGCCTGGGAGGATATGAACACTGACTATTTTACGTTCGCTGTCTTCCCCGAGTCATTGTATAGGATGCATATGGATTAAACGAACATCGCTCTTTTGAATGGTGACGAATGCGGAGAACATCTCAGACATAGGATTAATTAGCGTCAAAGGGCTTTATCCTCCTCCCTTTCTTTTGTTGTGAACATCTTAATCTCGATGTTCAGGTCTCTGTCGACGATCTAATTGTCTACTCCGGTGACGTTCCAGCGAGCACAGTCGAGAAGACAGGGATCCTCGAGATCAATTTCCGAGAGTAGTCGATATGCCGTTAGCAACGGCGGCTGTTGCCAATAGCCACCGTTTCCAGTGTCAAATAGAAATGAGATTTCGATTATAAAGATTGCTAACAATTAAATGAGAAATTGGATTTGTGAGGACATCTCGCCAGTAACACCATCCAATCGCCCTTGGTACGCGAACACACCATCCAAATCGTCATTCCACAACACCCTGTCATTGGCAGAGTTAATTCTTCTTTTTTCTCTCTACACCTGTTCCCTTTTTCTTTTTTTATGGCGATTTCAACCCTAATTGATAGATATTTTTGACCTGATGTTTCACATCATTCTCAGGAGAACAACTTGTGTTCCAACGGTAAGTGGCACCAGTCATTGGATCAAGCCTGCTTCAACAAGTTGCGGTTAGAGGAGGTATTAAGTTCTTGTGGCACAACGAAAGCACTATCTAGGTAGGAACGGAGGGAAGAACGTCCGTTGCGCGTGTCCGTCGAAAGTAGGTTACCCCGCCCACTTTGCGCGCGGCGCACCCCATTGATACTGTTGGTAGTGAGTACTGTAAGTTAAGTACTGTAAGTTACATAGTTAAGTTAGTATTGCAACCAAGAGTCAGTGGAGCGAACGATTTGCATTTGTCCGTATTATCTTCTCTTTGAGATGAATGCTGTGGACCAAGCGCGAGTCGTATGCCCCACTGACAACTGCGACATCTGTCAAAAATCGCGGGATGACGCTCCGCATGCGGCGGCTGCGACGTGACCTAGTTATGACGGACGCGCGCAACGAAGCGCACCTTTGGCGTTGAAGTTCGCATTGATGCGTTTTTACTCTCACCAGAAATGGAGAAGCGGCCTCTGGAAACAATATGCAACGGGGATCAAAGCAGGTTTTTTAAGGAACAGCGAGGACTCCTACTTTGATGGACCAGAAGAGAGTTGGAAGGGTGGAACAACAATGTCTCCTCCTTTTCTTCTATACCGACCAGAGAGCTTATGCTGGACTTAATTAGATCGTTCATTGAACCAGCGGACGTGCCCTCATCTCTTCTGACTGCCTATTATTGGAGTTCATTCGAGGACTATGGTGTAATTCAGAATGCTTGACCAGGCGGACTCGCAATGAAAGTTTTCAAAGTTCCACCAACACGAACACCCTAAACTCAGCCTCTCCATATATATATCTTTCTCGAAGTCATGTTTACACCTTTCTACCTTATTTAATTACTAGTCACCTTTCGTGTTAACAACCGCAACTCGCCTTTAATCATTATTGTACTACAACCACCGTATCTGAGTTTGGAAAGATCTCTCTTTTTTAGGGTTGCAACAGGTGCTTTTAGAATTCAGGACGCGCTGACCCATCCACCGACCGAAGGCGTTGCTGGCCACGTGTCGACAACGCAGGACAGACTACGTCCAGGGCCACGTGAGCGGTAGCGGTGCCGAACGCAATCCGTCCTGCATTGTCAACACGTACCCAATAACACCGTCGGTCGGTCGATCGGCACTTTCTTGAATTCTGTAAGCATCCAACAGGCACTCTATTGGAACCGTTCTAAACTCCTGTACATTATTGTTTCTCATCTCACATTGACGGGAACTACGTAGGTAATAGGCGTGTTGGACATTCCTTCCATACGTTGCACCCAATGAGAGAAATTTTTCTATTTCGATTTTTTGTTCAATTTTACCATGTGTACATAGATTGCTTACCTTTTGTTCCTACAGTTCTTCTCTTTTTCTTAGAGAAGTCGGTTGAGCGCAAGAGCAGCAGAGAAAAGGGCCTTACTTCTTTTATAGAGAGCATCGGTTAGCTGAGTCATTAAACCTTCCTCTGCCAGGAATGCATGAAGCTGTCGATACTTTTGTACCTCTTTTTGCCGGTCCAAAGAGAAGCAAAAACACTTACTGTATTACTATTTCCAGTATTCCTCAAATATAAGGGAAAGTTGTATATCGTCAAATGAAGCGTAAAAGCATTTTGCAGCGTTTAGGACAAATTTAATGATAAAGCAAAACGAGCACATGCAACGAGGGACAGAATCTTCTGTCACTCCTATTAGTGTGCTAACTTACTGAATGCACCATAGGTGCACGATGGTGTCAGTACTCGTTCACATCTGTGTGTAGGACAGATGTATAACACGGGAAGAAACGGTCCTCGAACTTAGTAACCAAAATCGTTAAGCAGATTTGGTGCTAAATGATTCTGGGAAGCAGAGATGAGCATAGGAGGGTAGATTACCGTATGAAAATACCTATGGCGGTATACTCTTATCGTGAATGGCTACTGCGAGCTGGTACTCTTCCCTCCTGAATTCAAAGGTATTAATCTTGATAACGAGCCTACAAGCATTTTGGATAATGCCTGTGAGGATTGCTCGTTTCGGACGTGTGAAAGAGAGACAACATCAAAAGGTTCAAGTACATTGCTTACTCGAAACTCGGAGGCGTGCAATTATTCTAGGACTGGACAGTCGAGACGGAACCATTGCTATCAAACGGCCCACCATGTTTTTCAGTTGGTCTCCCTACTCAACTATTAATGAATCGAATTTTAAAGGTGTAGGTGGTGTAGACAGCGATTCGCAAGAGGTGAGCTCATAGGTCTTTATAAGGCAGTAAACTAGACAGTTAAGGCTATCCATTTTGAGTCTACTGACCACCCACACCTGCAAGATTCAAATGTGATTGAGGTACCTGCATTGAGATGGAGTTGCTCTCATTAACACTGCAGAAAACATAGGACCTGAACTGAAAAGGGGTTAGATTGACGCTCGCTGGAGTGGTCGGGATAACGACGAACTCACCAACCTTATCGTTAACCGTTGTGCCCTTTGAGCCCAATTCGCGTAGCTCTCGAACGTATGTGTTTCGGAGTCCACTATATTGGTTGAGAATGGTAGGAGTTCTGCAAATAATATTCTAAACACAACTTTAGCCTCAAGTACTACTAGTAGGTGTTCTTGATAGGAAGAAATGTTAAAACATAAGCATAGTTGCGATCAAGCTGGAAAGTTGCCAATACCTCATGATCCTGTCTGCTCTCAGCCGTAGATACCAGATTCTTTGCCAACTACCAACTTTGCAAAAGTGAACTTATATTTTGTGCAGGTGAAGAAGAAGGAATTCAACGCGTCCAACTCATCAGAGGAGAGTTGAATGTCGCCAAAAACTGCAAACTATTCCAAATTACAATCACCACCGGCGAACGTCCGTTGCGCGTGTCCGTCGAAAGTAGGTCACCCCGCCCACTTCGCGCGCGGCGCACTCCACTGAGGTCTCGAGGTGGCATTGCAGTACCACCAAGTGTGAGTGGAGCGAACGATTTGCATTTGTCTATGTCATCTTCTCTTTGGCTGACTACCGTGGAGAAAGCGCAAATCGTATGCCCCGCTTACAGCTGCGACGTCTGTCAAGTATCGCAGGCTGACCCGC